GACCGTGATCCGGAAAACCCCTCTGCTAACAGGAGCGTCACACGAGCTCTGACCCTAGCTGACAGCAGGAATGTGTATGAACCATCACTCACATGCCCACATGTGTGCATGTGTTTCCACATGTGAGCAAGCAACCAGAGACCTATATGTCAGAACATTGCTCTGTAGTGCTTCAGTGGCCAGATACGTCACCAGGTACCTTTAATCATCTAATTTCCCTGAAACAAGACGGATACACTGTTCATTAAAGTTGTTGTTTGTTTCTCTGCCATTGTTGGTCATTGGATCAGTTGTGTCCTTAAAGTAGATGCCAAAAATCTATGTAATATCTAAATATCCTCACTAATAGTGAGTTCTATCAAACACTGAACAGTACATGGCTTCAGATTTACAAGCTTTAGTCTTGTCCAATGAATTGTCGTGTGTTTGGAACATATAGACAGAAAAGTAGTTAAGAACACCTCTAACAAATGCAAACTCATTGGAATTCATGACTACTTCAAAGTAGTTGCTTTTAAAAATACATTTCACATGACATTAAGCATTAGGAGCATATCTCCACAGATCAGGATCTACTCTCAGGTCTTCATCTATCACCTGCTGTGGTGTGTTGAATATGCATCAGCAGCTGCTGCAATTGTAATTCCAGTCACAGTGAGCGGGGGACTGTTTTGTTTCAAGCATTCAGATTTACCCACCTGGCACGAGTCAACAATGTGGCTGTAGAAAGCTCACGTCTTAACTTCTTTCTTAATCACTCCGAGCCATCCTTACTAGTTGTTGTGAACATACATTAATAATACATCAGCTGAAGAAGAGGGTATCAGTGCACGTCACTGTTTGTATCAGTGTGGCTGAATATCAAGTTTGACCCTCTCCTCCTTGAGGGAGACTGTGGATCAGGCGATAGAGGGTCGTTCACTCACCAGAAGGTCAGTGGTTCGATCCCCTGCTCCTCCAGTATGCACTCTGAGGTGTCCTTGGGCAACATATTGAGAGATACTGAACCCCAAAGAAGCAATGCGTACAGAAGCACCATATGAATGTGTGTTTGTGAATGGGTGAATGTGATTGTAAAGAGCTTTGAGCGATCATTGCGACTGCTAAAGAGATATTTAAATATATATATAAATTCTGTCCATTTGCAATTAACTTTAACTTCATTAAATATATTATATTTAACGTCATTCAAACAGATGTGTTTTAGCTGGAAAACTGTGAATCATGCTCTGATGTGAACAACCAGGCCGGGCTACAGAAATCTAACACACCCTGCTAGTGAACAGTTTCATACACATCAAAACTCTGACACCTACAGTCTTCTGTTGCATCGAATTACACAATCGCTGTAGCTACGAGTTGATCCGCGTTGATACGTCTAATATCCTGTTTACAAGTTTCATGATTTATAGGATGTGGCTTTGTCTAGTTGCAGCGTATTTTAGGCTGTTGGGACGACATTAGTCTTTAACACCACAACCACGAGTCAAAACAATCACTCTTGTATTTGCATCATTGATCGACGCACCTCAGTTGGGCCTTGCCTTCTCACACCATCTGTATTTGCGTCCTGTCCTGAGTCGTCACGCGTGATGTGACACCATGTTGTGCATTGCGTATGTTGCAAGTTGTGGTCACTTGTCGTAAAAAACTGAAATATGAATGTGAATTATATTCAAATATCTATCTAGACAAGCGTCTTATATGTGTATCGGAATACTGCAAGAAAAATCATATCACGTGACCGTTGACATACGCTTGACCTGCGTATTCCTAAGGATATTGTCGCAGATAACTTGAATATTGGAATTTAACAGCACAACAGCTGCTAGCAAAGACCAGCAACGCATGTAATTCTCTTCCCATGTCTCATTCACCAATCAGGTAATCAAGGCTGGTGCTAGTTTCTCACAGAAAAGGTTGACCTGACAGGAGTGTGAGGGTACATCAGGACTGATAACATCTGCTGTCTGCATCAGCGTCTCCGTTTCTGTTTATCCAGAGCAAAATTCAACCTAAACTAACAGATTTCAAACAGACACAGGGTCAGCAGCGTTTCCAAAAGTCTTTGTTTTAGGGGCTTGAAAAATCCAGTGTTGTGTGGACATCAAGCATAAGCTCCGATCTGAGTTTTCAAGGCCCACATTAACAGGGTGACCAAATTTTCCACCGTGGAAACATTGTTGAAACAAGGTTCGGCCATTTATAAATCAGACAGATGCTGAAAGCTGATCCATGCCTTCATTTCTTTTTACAGACCTCCCACAGAAAACAATAGAGAGACTCCAGCTGGTTCAGAACTCTGCTGCTCGGCTGTTAACCAGAACCAAGAGGAGAGAACACATTAGTCCAGTTCTAGCTGCTCTGCACTGGTTACATGTAAAACTCAGGATTTACTTTAAGGTTCCCCTCCTTATAAGGCTCTGAATGGACAGAGTTACATAGCTGACTCTCTAGTTAACTATGTTCCCTCTAAAACACTGAGATCATCTGCAGCAAGTTTATTGGAGGTTCCCAACAAGAGCCGAAAGAAAATCAGAGATGCAGCTTTTGAATATTACGCTTTTGGAACAGACTGCTGCTAGATATCAGAGAAGCTAGTTCAGTCTTTGAAAGAAACCTTATTCTCTTTGCTTCAGAGTTAACTAGATCTTGCACTTGCCTCAACGTCTGCTCTCTTTTATGTTTTTTTTATCATTTCAAGTTTAAATTTGATTTCATTTTTTTCTTCTTTGATTTCCCTTCCCTTTAAATGTCATTGAGAATGTCTGGTTCTTATGTTCCCTAAAATCGGTTCTCTGCTTATTTTGAATTACATTTTCACATGTTTTATTTTTATCTACATTGTATGTAAAGCACTTTGAGCTGCGTTTCCTGTATGAAAGGTACTAAAGTTTATTATTATTATTACTATTATAATTACTAAGATATTATAAATATAGCAAAATGTGTTTTAAAACTAAAACATATTAGTGTGTGTGTACCTTTCCTGTATGACCTGAATCCTACATATAGCTCAGCCACAAGTGCAGAAAAAAAGGCTCCTCATGATTGAATTTGTCCTCTGCAGCTTCGCAGCCTTCACAGTGTGACGTGTGCAGCCATGTAGAGGATTTGTGTTGTAACTCGCCCGCATTCTCCTTCACAAGTGCTGACTGATTACATTGCACATGAAGCTGGTGCTGTCACTGAGCTGCAGTGGAGCCCCTGCACTCAGCTCGGTGAATGCCAGTCCAGTAATACCCAGCAGCAGCGGCGGCAGCAGCACTCCACAGACAGAAAAGACTGTTATGCAATGTGATTTTCTGTGTGGCTGATTTCAGATTAGTAGGTTAGAGGTGAATGAGGCCGAAGCGTTGCCAGCAACTTGATTTCACTGTGTTGCACTACAGTGAATCAGTTTATCATATGGTTCTGCGGCCTGAACCGAGGGGATGTGTGCCTTGTGTTGTTGTGTTGTGTGTTTCTGCGTAACAGCTCAGATTGCTCCGGATGGTTGTGAGCGTCAACAAGCATGGCATTTTTATTTTTGTTTTTTCAATATTTGATTCTTCTTCGGCCATTTGTAAAAGACAAAATAAATACTACTAGTAATTCTTTCCTCACTTCTGTCACAAATCACACTGCGAACCCTTTCCTCTTCAGAGCCAACTGGCAGCAGGAAAGGCAGTGGTGCCTGGGAGAAATCCATTGCTTTTTATTGTGCTGACTGTTGGTCTGGAAAATCATTTGAAAACTAAACAGATAAATGTTTATTGGGCTGTAAATCCGCCTCCTTCGTGGTGCAGTTTAGGACAACAGTCCAAACTCCCTCGGTCAGAGTGAGTCAGATTTTCTCTGCTCGCTGCCAGTTTTAAAAACACTGAATTTGCCCCGGCAGTGCTGTTGTGAGTTTGAGGATCTAGTTTGGGCCGTACCGCTCAATATCTGGTGTATCACCAATGTCCACAAAACATGACGATAAAATAAATCCCATTTAACATTATTTCAAACATTATTTCCAGCATTTCCAGCCTGTTTACTGTCAGTAGGCCAAATGTGTCCTATATAAAAACCTTCAGGTTACTAATACAAAGGAGCTGCCAGTGACCTTCCCCATTTGCCTAAAGGGACATTTGACAGAAATTACAACTCACTGTGTTCTCTGTAAAGTCCGTACAGGCTGTTCCTGGGAAGACAAGTTCCTGTTAAATGTGTAAGTGTAAACTTCTATGGCTGTGACCACAACTGAGTAAATTCCATTCACCATAATTGTACTGGCAGAACTGTCACAGCTATCTCCACATCAAATAATACCAATGTAGCCAGATCTGCATGGCTGAGTACCAGGAGAAGCAGGAAATGACCGCCAGTGTTTCTCGCCTCCATCTTTGGTGCTTAACCAGCTGTTATCTCTGCACTTCCTGAAAACCACATGAGAACCAGACAGCATGGGTTCTACTGAGACATTTGTTCCTTCACTTCTATGAGTTTATTTTGGTGACATGATTTTTTTTCTGCTAAACATTTGAATGAATTTAGCATTATTAATGGATTTTGAACCAAAACGATAGGATTTTAAAGTAGGACCATCCATTTCAAAGAGGAAACATCTCAGCCATCATCTTTAAAAGTTGAATTTACAAGTAACAAAACAACCTTGTGTCAGGTTAAGCCTGAACATATGCAGCCCCTCACCAGGAGAAGAGAATGAGGGCAAAAACGGGAGTGGATTGTGAGGTCTTTGAATTAAATGACCCAAAAGAATTAAGCTAATTCTTCCCTCAAATGGCACAATGAAGCATTTTTACTTTATCAATAAAATCGTTTTCTCAATAGTTGTGATATTTATGCACAGCTTACCGTTTAGTTTCTAAGAAGATATTTGGGTGATCAGCGATGCACACAATTATACCACAACATTTTTGCACAAACAATAAATGTATAATATGACATACAGTCATTAAATAAAACACTGACTGAGAATGTAAAAGCCGTCTTCTCTCTCTCTCTGCTTCCAGCATCAAGTTACTGGCCGTGCAGGACCTTCTGGAGCGGGAGGCTCTCGATAAGGTAAGGCAGGACTGTGCACCACACTGTTCCCTGACTGGGTCACACTGGTGGATTGAGGGGGTTGTTACTGCGGATGCTGGTGCCAGCTTTCTTTTGCAGCATTGTAAACAAGATGACTCACCACTCTGGGAAACGTACGGACAATTGCTCGCTCAGTGTTTCCCATTTGTTTAACGTGTCGCTGTTATGCAAATGTTCCCTCTCTCCTTCCACCCGCTCTGTGTGTCTCCGTCTCCCGAGCGTTAACTATTTCTGGACCCATATTTGGGTTTGACCTGAGTTGGTGCTCTCCTGTGCTTTCATTACTATAAATATGACGCTGGTTGCTATGGGTTGGAGGGTATCAGTTTCAGCAGTGTTAAGTAGCAGAACACTGGATTATTCTTTGATTCTAAATGTTTTTTCTAGATACAGGGGAGTAAACAAAGGTAAACAGATGCCGACACATTTTGGCTTACAGCTGGGAGCTTTAACAGCCAGATTTGCAGGATGACAAACAGTTAATCTTAAGAGGACAATTAGTGCTCGACCCTTTATATTACCCTTATATCTTATATTTACATTTTGGGGACCCTCTCTACGGAGGCCGCCATGTTTTTTACATTAGTGCAGACTGAACAAACTAAACACCTTTTGAGTTGAAGCTACCACAGGTTCTTTTTCATGTTTGGAAGGAGAGGGTGAGGTGAGGGGTGTTCAGCTGCAACATGTAATTTCAACACTAGATTATACAAAATTCTACACACTGTACCTTTAAGTGGTTCTCAAAAAAAAAGATAAAGATGTGGTTTCACCTTCAGCACAGCTTCTTGTTGATAGACTCTATGGGGATTACATTCTGGTCTTGTCATCGCAGTCCCACTGTGATGACAAGACCAGAATGTAATCCCCCTTTGAACCACAAATTGTTATTCTTAAAGCTATGCTAACAGTTTGTATGGGTTTAACAAAAAACACATTAGCTGCTGTCACACAGGCGCTGAACTTGAGATCCTCAGGAGAAACTGCTGAGGATCTCAAGTGTGAAAAAAAAAAAAGTCAGACTGAGAGCCTCCAGAGTTCATGAGGACTCTCTTGGGGATGAAAAAGCTCTGCCACACGTACGACACGGACGGAGAGAGTTTGTTGTGATAAAAGCCGACACCTAAGGTCGATGTGCTACCTGATATCCTGCCTCTGTCTGCTGCAGCTATCGTTAAGTTGTAGGGGTTACGGTGTAACTGTGTGTATTTTGGCGTCGTGCACAGCCAGGTGAGCTGTTTCTCTCCATTTTGAGATAATGTTTTTAAGAGAGGAAATAAGAGAAATCCTTTTCATGCAGCAAACACCCACTACTGATTGAAAAGTCTTTCTCAAAAGGAAATCACAAAGTCAGTTTTTTAGTGAGTTGAACATATCATGACCCAGGATCTTGGAGTTGAAGTTAATAATAACTAGCATGTGCATTTTGGGTAGATAATGCATGCAATTCGTGCCTGGGGATTTAATGTGCTGAACCTTTTAAGAAGAGAAAACATTTAATAGCTGTTTTATATGTAGAATTAGAAAAGTGTGGAAAAGTTACACAACTCTAGTCTTGCAGATGATAACACAAAACAAACGAACGAGTTACTGGCATAAACACAAAGGTTTTACAAGCTGCTAATCAGTGCTACTGTTGTGAACATATGTCACTATGTTGAGCATGTGCTATGACACCATATATTCTAAAACATGAATACAAGCAATAATTTCCTAAATGAGGTGTACATATGAGAGCCATGTTTAGCTTTTAGTATCTGGGAGAAGAAATGCTAAATGTACAAAGTAAAAGCTTAATGATTGATGGTTAGGTGGTATAAGAGGTTGGTTTTCTCTTTTGGCTAATTTTTTGGGGATTTTTCAAACCCAAACCTCATCAGTGTGACTTTTTGTCTCAGCTAGTTGGAATCCATCCCCTATTCTGTATCACGTTCTCTCTCCTCCGTGTTAGTTTGTGTTCCCTTCATGCAAATTCCATGTCTGCATCTGTGTTGTGAGGGGAAAAAAACCGGAGCATAGAATGAATTATGTGTCACACAGTATGTGTGCTGCACTGTCAGACCTCGCTCTGTCTTACTGGGCATTAATGCACGGAGGTTGGTGCATAAAATGTCAGAGTGCAACAGGCCGCTCTGAGCAGCAGGATGTGGAGCTGCTCAGCCCACACACACGTTTTCACATGCGTAATGTCACTTTTGGTTTTCGGATACCAGGGGGATCCTTGGCAGGGAAACCAGAACTCCATAGAAAGAGAAGTAGGTCAGCAGCAGAGGATTTTGGACAGAGAGAGGGAGGAGGTGGGAGGATGAGTTACCTCTGGACTTGGAAGTGGTAGCACACATTGCAGTGTATTCACTGAGCCAGCGTCCCACACTGATTTACTGGCAGTTTTCTCATGTCCTCTAGTCCTAACTCTCTTTTCATCTACACTCCTACTGCAGTGTTTTCCTACAGAGGGATTGTTTGTTTTCTCTCTGAGTTCTTTCACTCTTTCCAAAATATATATTTTGTTTCCCCATATTCAAAACTCAGAATATTCATTATTATCCCAGGGGACTTTAAAGCTCAAATAAGCTTTTTTTGTGCTGTGGTGTTGGTGTGATAGCTTCCTCCTTCATGTCTTCATTTTACAGAAGTAAAGTATCACAGGCGCTCTTGCACCTTCCCAAAGCATGCTGGGTAACCCATAGCTATAAACAGTATCTGTAAATCTGGGTATCAGACTTTATTGACACATAATGATGTAAATTGTATTTCATGTGATTTTACACTGTGTAAGAAATATTTTTAGAAAAAGAGCCTTTGCTGGTATCCACAGCTTAGTATGATGTCACGTTCAGCATGAATGTATACCCAGGCGATAAGGATATGTGCGGTGAAAAGGTGGTCAGCTAGGTTGGTCCGAGGGCTTGTCCCCCAGAGAAAACATTGCCTCTGTTACATTCTTAAGCCTCTAGTCTGTTCCTTCATATTCACACTCATCTTAATCATGTGTGTCTTCTGGGTGGGGACTCTCACCTTTATTGACAGGGCAGTGCAGTAGGGAAAGGAGGTAAGGCAGGTCGGAACTAGAGGATTCAAGCCTTAATTGGCCATGCGACGCTCTGGGGAATCACTGTATATCCATCTGTTACTGTACTCCCGTCGTATTTCAGGTCTCAGTTCCCATTGACATTACGCTGAAAAGAGGATGTGTTAAATTAGTATCTAAAGCAACAGTTCAGCGTTTCTCTGTAAATGTGGTTGACGTTTCTGCTATGGACATGTGTCATGATGAGTCACACAAAGAGTGTGTGCCGGGTTAGACTGTTGTGTTGTCCTCTGTGTTTTGTCACTTAGGAACCCTCTGTCTGTGGTTATCATCATCAGTCATACTGTCAGAGGTCTAACAGGAAACTGTCAATACGACTTGTTGAAAATCAAAAAATAACACACATGCATGAAGGCACACACATGCAGCCACAGTTTTCAGGCTCTCCTCGGTTCAGTGAGGCCAGCTCCGATTCCCCCTAAATGTAATTATTCGTCCATGATGTTCTGAAAAGCATCTTTTTAGTTTTGTTGTTTTGCTAATGTTTCAGACAAAGAGACCTGTGAAAGAGTGTGAAAGAGGCCTCACTGACAACACTGGATTTATTTGTCTTTTTCCAATCAGCCATTTGAGATTCACATTTGATTTAACAAGACATATGAGGAAAACAGCATCCAACAAACACAGGCTCACTGAACTTTACAACCTGAGGTATTGACAGGTATCCTGCGAGAGGTTGCAGCGTCAATTGCAGAATACTGTTCAGAGCAGACTTAGATTTTTTCTACTTTTTCTAAATAAAACAACTACAATTTAACTTAAACTGGTAAAAAAAAATTTACATGAAGAATTGATCAAAATAAAAAATTTGTCTTGAAGTGACAAACAGTGAATCGTGATGCAACTTTTTAGTTTCATTCAGCTCGTTGTTGTCCAGCCCACAACTTCTTCCTGTGTCGCCCAGTGAAACGAGCTCAAGCTGGCTGACAAAATTTGCAACTGGCTTGTGAATTTAGTGGAGCATTTAGCAGTCGAATAGCCAGATGTTTATTTTCGCAGGAGCCCGAGCTAAAAGAGGGTGATGGTTTGTCTTTATTTCAACAGGTGGATATATGCACAAAATGAATGCTAGTGATGCTGTGTGCCTACTAGATGTGTAAAATTACAGACCTGTTGTAGGGTCCTCAGATGGATGATAGTCTGCTGTAACAATTTGTAAACCAAGGCTATAGAAATAGATTTAATTTGACTTAATGTAATGTTACACAGTTAAATTCAAGAGCACCTCATTTTGTTGAATTTGTTTGAAGCAATTTTATTGAGAAACTAAAAAAAAAAAAAAAGTAATATGTTAAAACTAGAGTTTGACTCAGGGCCCCTCTGTAAGACAGGATCTCAAGATCACACTGGATATTCTACTCGTGAAAAACCGGCCAATTTGCCCTATAGGAGAAAAAGATCTTTTTATTAAATAATAACTTGAGCTTTTAAAACCCTGAAGCACACACCTATAACACTTAAATAAGAGCAACACAGATCTTGATAACACTTATTATCAGTGAAGTGCTACAATATAAAAATGTCATCTGAGATTTAAGTGAGATATATGGCATTAATACCAGGGTGACCTGCATTCTGCTTTCACTGTCTATCCGCTGAGTAAGTAATAATATTCATGATGAAGCAATTTCACACTGCCAGAAGCTTAGAAACTCAAACACGAGATATACTTTCAGTCACAGTCCCCAGGGGCTATAGGCTCATACACATAAAAGGATGAATTATCCTTCAACCTAAACAAAAAGGGACTCAGAATTCAGCCTGTAACGACCAAAGTGCAGGTACATCATGTAGTTATGGTCCTGGCAGTGAGGCCAGACCTGGAGGAGTCACCTGGTCGAGTCCCGCTGTGACACCGGGGGCCAGACCAGGGACAGGAAAAGCCACAACAATACAGTTTCAAGTCACTGCCAAGTATTTAATTAGCTGATTACAAGACTGAATGGTAATCAGCAGTCAGAGGATGGAAAACCTCCTCACCATTGTTCTGCTATGTGGAAGACAGTAAACATTTAAAGGGAGTCGGTGTGGAGTTTGACAGACAAAGACTTTTACTAGACAGGGTCTGACCCTATATGTCAGTGAGCTGCATGATTGCTCACAGTTTTTGCAACTTGATTCAACAAAAGACTGAAAGTCAGGATATGTCAAACTTTGTCACTAGATTTTAGAGTTTTCAAAGTGACAAACCTTTGCTACTTTCCACAGAAGAGGTCAGCCAGTATTGCCCTGTGAGCCAAAAGGTCGGGCAGGACTTAGCTTCTGTTTTAAAAAATGTCCTCAACTTCACACACGGACCCCACGTGGTTCAGCCAAACGGCCAAATGGGAGAAAGTCATTGTAAAATAATACAACCATAACATTGTTTTATCAACAAGCCAAAGAATGTTCGCACACCTAACTGCTAATTTCGAAGTAACTGAAGTAAAATAATACTAAAATAAAACTATTTCCCACTCCTGTCTAACTAACTGAAGTGGCCACAACGACCCAGCTTCAGTTCCTGCTTAAAGTTAACTTTTAACGTGGATACAGTGTGATGCTAACAGTGTTGGGCCATGGACAGTGTGATGTGATTGAGCTGCTTGGATTCATATGAACATTTAGATGATGCAGGTGTTCTTCTGTTTCACCTGTTTGCCTGATGAATAACTTGTGTAGTTTTACATCCCTTTGTCAGCAGCATGTTCTTATTCACAAATTAGTGAGTTAAGACCACAAATAAAATAATTTGAGGGTTATTTATTTATTTAGTGATTTAGCTATTTATATGAAAACATTCCTAAATTCCTGTGTACACCATTGATGGGAACTGAGCGGTGACTTGGTATTTTTGTGCTGGGGGGGCCCTCCTGCCATGCACAACATACATTCGCATAGCACAAGGTGGAAGCTTTCCTCTGAGATTCTGCTCCATGTTGACATGACTGCATCACAACTGCTAATCCCCTGTTCTAACACATCCCAAAGGTTCTTCTACTGAATTGACTGAGGAGGTCGCTGGAACTAAGTCCTGACTCTCACACAGTCTCCTCCATGATAACCTGATCTCATCAGAACTAAACATTTAAGGGCTTAATGTTCTGGGACATCACAAGAATCTCTCTGGTTTTGCAAAAAGAACGAGAATGACACTCAGTAGAGCACATACCTCCACCAAGGCCCAACTGTCCCCTGAATTTCAATCAAGCTACACCTCATTACACACACTCATCGAGACTAACTCCCCTAATGTGCATTGTTTTCATTATTTCTTTAGAAATTGACAATAATGTTGAAAAACATCATATATCACAATGTTGTAAAAAAGAAAGTGAAAAAAATCCACTAGGTGTTTTAGCAATACGTATAGTCTAACAAACAAACACAGATGAAAACAAATTGACGAAAAAAGTCTGTCCCATCATGTGGATGTCAACCTAATGAGACTTGTGCTGTATCAAAGAAGGTATTGTTAAAATCTTGCATATTTTCACTTTCATAATTTGCGTCCTTTAGACTGGTGTGTGTGTGAGTGAGTGCGTGTGTGTGCTCATAGGTGGGGTTCCTCTCACTCTCCCGGTTCCCACAGGGAGCCTCCCAGTTAAATTTAGAGCCAGTTGCTGCACGAACAGGCACTAAAGCCTTCATGAGAATCTTCTTCTGTGGAAAAAACTTTGAGTCATATTTACCTGCTGATTTTACAATATCATACCTCTGTTGGTTTAGTTAGCTCTCTGTGATGTTGACATAAGAGGCTTCCTCTTGCTCCTTGTATTTCCTCTTAGACATGAGTTGGTGCTATTTGAGTTCATTGAACTCTGAATTGTTTCTTAGAAGCAGTTCGACTGTTGAGCAAAACATGTTTTTGCTGCAGTTAAAATCCAAAACACTACTCCCTTTTTACTTCACTGTGTCATGTATTTCACACTGATTATGAACAGAGGCAGAGATAAAGCATTGTTGACATTTAATCATCAGATGAATTCGATTTTGCCGTGTCCCCACTATGCATTCAGGCTTCTCTTTCTTTCTTCTTTAGCTTTTTATCATGCGTTGATTCTCATATAACCTCACAATTTTCTTGGCACTGACAGGACCATATTGCGTCACATCAGTTAGCTCTTAAATTGTGACATGTACAATAGACAGGATAATCCTGAGAATGAAGCCGTAGAAAATAAAATCATAATTTTGCAGAAATATGTTACAAGGAAAGGTTTGTCGCAATATAATAAGAAAAAAGTCACAATTTTATAAAAACAGAGTTGTAATGTAAAAGCAGCATGAGGGCACTTTTTTAAAATACTACACTTCTGTTTCTAACTTGCATGCTATTATGTGTGTGTGTGTGTGTGTGGTC